ACAGAGGAAAATGAGGGGTAGAGAAGGGAAATGACTTGCTCAAGTGAGTTAGTGGCAGAAGCAAGACTAGATACTAGGTTTCTTAACTGCCTGGACTATGCTTCTGAAATTGGCCTGACCCAAATTAATCAAACCAAGAGCTCCCATGTTTCCTTAATAGCTCTTGGCAGTTTTTTTGGTTTTTTTACACACTGTCATTTCCCAATATTCCCAGATCCCATAGGCTTTCTTCATTACAAAGAAATACAGTTTAGTAAGACCAACCTGGGCAGCTAGGTAGTGCAGTGGATAAAGCTGTGCCTGGAGTCAGGAAGATTCATCTTCATGAGCTCAAATCCAGCTTTAGACACCTACTAGCTGTGTGACCCTGAGCAAGTCACTTAACCTTGTTTGCCTCAGTTTCATCATTTGTAAAATGAGTTGGAGAAGGAAATGGAAAAGTACTCCAGTATCTTTGCCAAGAAAACTCCAAACATGGTTACAAAGAGTCAGACCTGACCTAAATGATTAAATAACAAACAAACATAGCCACATATATACACTTATATATGCACATGTATATGCATGTATGGTTCTATCTACACATATACATACATATGTATATGTATATATAAAATGTATATATGTGTAGAGAGAAATTCCATGAGAAAGAAAAAAGAAACAATAGCACCACAGGATGACATGGAGTTGTACAGGAAACAACTTACATTCTTATCACTCTTTAATATTTAAAGAGTATTTTCTCTGCAATAGGCTCATGAGGTGTTATTAAGGAGACTTCTAGACCAGTATCATTAATGAATATTGATTAAAAAAAATTTTTTAATCTTGTCAGACCACGGTAATTCATCCAAAAATCATTCTTTGTGACCAAGCTGAATTTATGCCAGGGATGAAAGAAGATTCAACATTAAGAAAACAACATAATTAATCATATTAAAAATTAAAACATCCAAAGTCATATGATTATCTTAACAGATAAAGAAAGGCTTTGGCAAAGTATAGCTGTCATTTATGCTAAAATACATCAAAAGTACAGGCATAGAGGGTCCTTTTTAATTAAAAAGTGTCTCTCTTCAAACAAAAGTGAGCATCATATGTAATACAAATACAAACCTTTTTTAATAGATATAAGAGAAATGTAAGGATGCACATTCTCCCCACAATTATTAAATATAATTTCATAAATGTTAGCAATAGCAATAAGACAAGAGAAAGAAATCAAAGCTATAAAGACAGGCAAAGAGAAGATCAAATTATTGCTCTTTGCTGATGACATGATAGTTATTTTTAAAATCCAAGGGAATTAGCAAAGATGCTAATTAAGAAGATTAATAACATCAGCAGAGTAGCTACAAAAAGACCCACAAAAATCAACAGTATTTATGTGTAATATTAAAAATCCCTAAGACAATAATAGAAAGAAAAGTTCTGGTCAAAGGAACTATAAAATGAGTAAAATATTTGAGGGTCAATCTACCAAAGCTCACAAAATTCTTGTATAAGTACAATTAGAAAATGTTCTTAAAGCAATAAAGAGCAACTTTAAAAGTCAGAGGAATAGTCATTGCTCATGGCTAGGTCATGCCAATATAATAAAAATGACAATATTACCAAAGTTAGTTTACAGTATTAATGCTATAGCAAACAAACTACCAAAGGTAAAAATCTTATAGAAGTGAAATATTGAAAACTAAAAACAAACAAATAAAAAGATATGTTCTTTTTTAAAAAATTATTTATGCTCCACAGAGGCAAGGAGTAGGAGACAAAAATACATAAGGTAAAGGCAGTTGGTTGTACCAAAGATCAGGTAATAAAATATCTCTTATTCTTACCTAAATCTTTCCCATTTTCTCCAGAAAATCACTCATCAGGAATTAATGCTCAATTTCTTTGTCTCAAAGGTGGTAGACATGCTACCATAAGGAAATATCTTTGCTCTAGAGTGCCAGATCCTCTTCTTCCAAACTGGAGAGAGGTTACTAGCACAGTCACTCTTTTGTTTCAATTTCCATAAAAACAAATGTTCCTTTACAGTGGAATAGATGTTAAAATCTTGGTTTTCCACAACAGTTTTTGTGATTAACAATATCTGATTAAAAACATCTTTCAGCAGTTTCTTTGTGACTGCTTTGGAGTCTGCTCTTACTGTAGGCCAAACTTCAATGCATCCAAAATTATATATGCTATAATGAGGACATTCACAATTATAATTTTTTGTCATCTAAATAAAACCAATCTTTATGTTAATAAATGAGAAAAAGTCCCCATCATAGATGCTGTTCTCTTTGTCTTAACCAATTTCCCAGCATTAGGTGCATGAAAGAAGGTACAGGAATATTGTTGGGCTATTAAAGCAAAAGCTTGAAGTGCAGCAATTCAATTTTACATATGAATTGGACTCATTGAGCTCCAAAGGCCCTTCTAACTTTCTGATTTGGTGACTCTATGACTCCTCTTCCAGTCACCTTACCCCACACTTCGGGGTTTTTTTACCCTGCTAAAGCTCTCAAGCCTTTACTGAGTGAATCAGTGAACTAAGTGGTTATTTTGAAAATAAGATAGAACAACATTTTTCTGAACAAATTATATATAGTGAGGACTGCAGCTTTCCTGGAGCAAGACAATGATTCTCAGAAGTCAAGTGTGAGTATTTGAATTTCTGCATGTTTTCTGTGGACTTCTGCATATGTCCACATTTATCCTAGATAGAACACTTTTAGGGAACTGACTATATGCATCCTTGTGAGCATCCTCATACCTGATCAAGGGATCATGTGCTTATGACTATAGATCTTTCTCTGTGTATCACACCACAAGTACAGGTGGTCCCTTCTCCAGGCCCCAGGTGGGAGTTAGATGTGAATAACAGGAGTGATGTGTGTGTGTGTGTGTGTGTGTGTGGTCTCATCTCAACAGGTTAGTGGAGAGAGTTAACTCAGGGTGACTAGGGCCCTTAGGTTACTTGTTTTAAGGATCCCAGCAGACGTCAGTATCTTGGGCATAAACCCCCAATCTCTTTGTGGCCAGCTACACCGGCCCTGATCATCCCTGGCTTACACTGTATTCTTAGAGGCATGGTTTCAAGACAGAACCATAACCAATAGAGGGCAAGTGAGACTTTCCCCTAAAATCATCTGATTTAGAGGGTGCTAAAAGCACTTTTAGGCTTTTAGCATAAGAAACAACAGAGCTTAGCACCTAATTAGAAAGAATAATGAGTTAAAAGCAGGAATTTTTCAGGTGAACTTGGATAAGCTTCTCGGGCCCCATGGCACTGCCACTGTGCTATTTCTCTATCCACTTACCATGCGAGGGTGTTCAGCCATTTCCTTTCCTACCGCCTTGCTCACCTGAGGATGTGCTTCGTGCTGCTTACTCCAAAAACAGGTGGTGCCACTTGCCCCTAGGGCAAAAATTTCTACTTAAAACTCTGTTTCTAAGGTCTCCCTGTGTGTTGAGATTATTGTTTCTGGGAATAGTCTACAAGTTAATATACAATGTGGAACAACAAAAAGAATGTTGGCTCTGGAGTCAAAGGATCATAGTCTCAGAGACAGAAGAGACTTTAAGGATCAAAAGTTCTGCTAAATACTAACTGTAGACAGTAGCTTTCCCCCACAGCCTTGCTTTCTTTACCTTCACTGAAGCTCTTAAGTCTTTACTGAATGAACAAATGAATGAGTGAATTAAATGATTATTTTGAATCCAATATAAAAGAACGTTTTTTGTGAACAAATATATGTAGCAAGGGCAGCTTGGTGGCACAGTGGATAGAGCAGGCCTGGAAGATCTGAGTTCAAATCCTACCTCAGACATTTGCTAGAATGGACTGGTCACACCCAGACACTGTTCCAGAAGCAAACTAGCTACCTATACCAGAACAAAATAAGAAAGGGTTAACCTTTCCTACCATCCATACTCTGGAGTTCTCTTCCTTATACAGATGGGACCAAAGCCAGGGGCCTCAGGTGTTTCTATTTCAGCTTGTTTTAGAACCTAAGAGGAAAAGGTTTAGAAAGGGAAGGGACCCTAGAACTAAAGGAAGCTGACTTCCTTCCCACACTACAGTGAGCAGCTTATACAATGAGAAAGAGATCCAATGCATAGCTGCCAGGCCTCTGACAAAATTAGAAAGAGGAAATATGTAAGAATAGAGTTCTGGGTCTCTCAACTATTGTCAAAAATTTGACTGTATTTGGTATTATGGAGTGTCAAGCATAGCCTTTATCCTTGACTTTTATGGGTTTATAGCCTTAGACAAACAACACACTGAGTTAACAAACCCCAATAATAGCTCACATTTCTATAGGACTTTACAGTTTACAAAGCACTTTCCCCATAATAATCCTGTGTGAAATGCACTGTATAAATATTATCTTCATTCTGAAAACAAAGATATTGAGGCTTAGAGATAAGAAGGGACCGGCTTAAGGTTGATCAGTGAATTGATGGCGGTAGCATACTGCCTTCACTGAGTTCTGCTCTTTTCACTGCTTCATACTGTCCCTCATCTCACCTCACTGCCTCTTAACACTGGGTAGGATGCGTGCTGAAAGAGAAAACATAAGGTAGGACCATAAGTTTTAGAACTGGATGGAAACTTAAAACTCACCTCCAACCCCCTCATTTTCAGATGAGGAAATTAAGGTCATACAGGAAGTAAGAACTACAATTCAAACCCAGAACTTCAAACCCAGTGTTCTTTTCGTCACACCAAAATGACAAGGTCTCCTTGCCATCAATCCAGATATAAAGGAGGGCTTAGAAGATGCTGGGAGGGGCAGTTAGGTGGTATAGTGGATAAAATACCAGTCCTGAAGTCAGGAAGACCTGAGTTCAAATCCAGCCTCAGACACTTACTAGCTGTGTGACCTTGGGCAAGTCACTTAAGCCTGATTTCCTCCCCAAAACAAACAAACAAAAAAAAAAAAACAAGATGCTGGAAAGGAAGCAGCCATTCCTAATGATGTGACACAGATCCATCTTTTCCCCAGACTTCATAAAGTTCAGCAGCATAACTCAGCACACAAGACAGCAGTTCCTCACCCCAAGGAAGTCCACACAGCACAAGAAAATTCCAATGCAGACTGCATACAGGGAGAGCCACGAACTTCAGGAACCCTGGAATCTGTAGGTGCTCTGACATGAGGAAGGACCATCAGCCTCCTATTCGTTCTTCTCCAAGCACCATCCCATATTGCACACGTACTGTAAGTGCTCATTGCCACACACCAATCAGGGAACCATTACTGCTCCTGATCTATGTGTTTTGGCCTCATGCAATCCCAGCATAATAGAGAGGCTAACGTCCTCACCAAGGATACAGGTGTCTGTCATCTTCTACACCCCACAAGTCAGCTGTATTATGTCAATTTTTGAGCTAACAATAGACAAGCCAAACATTATGACCTTCATTTTACTAATAAGGACCCCGAGTTCCAGAGAAGTGAAGTAATTTACCAAGATCACAAAACTGTTAAGTGGCAGAACCAAGATTCTAGCAGAGGACATAGGGTCATAACATCGTAGGATTTAGAGCTGAGGGCACCTAAAAGATTATCTTTTCTAATATAAGAGATAAGATCTCTTCTAAGATTCTAAGTCCAGCGTATCGTGCTGCCTCATATTCACAGAATTTCAGATTTGGTAAAGATTTTACCATCCATCAAGTGCTACCCACAGCTGAAAAAGACTGCTCTCCACAGTATGCCAGAAACTTGAAAACTTCCAAAGAGGGGGAACCAACTCCCTTCAAAGGCAGCCCTTTCCACTTTTGATTAGTTCTAGTTGTGAGAAAGTTCTTCCTTATCTCAGGATTAAATTTACCTCTTTACTTTTCAACTTTCACCTAATGCTCCTAGTTTTGTTCTCTGAAACCCAACAGAATCAATCTAAATACTTTTCCATGTGGCAGCCCTCTGCATCCTTGAATACAACTATCATTGCCTCTCACCTCCCCCAAGTCTTTTTTTTTTCTCTAGTCAAAACATCCCCGTTTCTTTCAACCAGTTCTCATATAGCATGAACTCGAGGCCTACCCCAGCCTGTTTTCCTTCCCCTGGATGCTCTCCAGCTTAACAATTGTCTGTCTTAAAATGTAGCACAGAAACTGAACATGATACTCCAAGTGTGGTCTGATGAGTCTGGGCCAAGTACATTGGGAGTATCTATCACTTCCCTATTCCTTGATTCTATGCCTCCTCAAGTCAGCTTAAATTGCAAATGTTTACATTATGGGTAAGTTATTTGTGGATAGATGTGTAATAATGAATATCCATGTTTAGCTAGAATGGAGCTATGGGAAGATGCCAGCTCTATCAAGAAAGGCTTTCTGGAAAAGGATGAATTTCAGGAACTGTTTAAATGACTGGTGATAGATAGCTTATGGGAAGGGGAGCATTCTAGATGCCTGGATTATCTTGGAGTAGGAACAAAATGAAAAGACAAAAGGGAACAAATGTGTTGGGGAAAGTCCTAGATCAAACTGGGGAGTAGGAAACAAGGGAAATAAGGAACCATAGTATCACTTAGAATTATAATGCTGGAAGGTAAGTCATCTAACCCTACATCCTCATTTTGTTGAGAAGAAAATTGAGGCTCAGAGAGGGAGAGTAACTTGTTCAAGATTATGAACCTAGCTAACAGAAAATTTGGGATGAGAATGACTCCCAGTCTCATTCCACTACATCACAATCACACCAAATCTATGGAAATTTGAAGTCTTTTGAAGAAGAAATAGGGAAAACTAATGATATGTCAGACAAGTAACTCAGCAGAATTCATATTGAAGAAATTTGGTCAAAGATCAATTCTAATTTTCATTTCTTATCTTCTTATTCTTAAAGGAATTCCTTATTCCTTATTTTTAGAGGAATTCAATAGGAGTCTGTTACCCTTTAGAGGACATGATTTTCATACTATGTCTGATAAAGATTCTCTTCAATATGCTTCTGTTCCCATTGCATTCCAGGAAAAGGTAGAATTATAACATAGCATGTCAGAGCTAAAAGGGAACTTAGAATCACAGAATATATAGTATAATGTCAAAACAGGAAGGGAACGAAACAGAATGTTAGACTCATAAAGGACAATAGAGATCAATGAATTCAACCCTTTAATTTTATAGTAAAAGAAATTGAAGACTAGAGAAATAAGGTTACTTACCTGGGGTCATACATTTGCTGAGTGGCAAAGAGAAAGCTTAAATACAATTCATCTGATTTCTGGTACAATATTTCTTCAGCAAATCACCTGGCTCCATAAATTTGTATCCTAGGATTTCTGAGGATTTCTCTGTATTTTCCAAAGCCTCTCATTTTCAGCAACAGCCCCATGTCTGGGCCTTGATGGATTCCATTGCAAAAATGAGAAAGGCATAACTATCTGCACAAATTCCTGTGGGCAGAAAAACCAGGCTGAAAGGTAGGCCTATTGGCTCCCATCAGATTAGGAGAGCACATCTTTCACCCCACTGTAACTTGATTAAAGAGGCTTACTGAGAATTTCTTCTTTCTTCCTCCGCTTTTACACTCTTTAGTTTCAAATAAGTTTACAAACTCTTCAAAAATCAAGGTGAAGAATCTAATGTTATCATTTGTTATCCTCCCCAAACACCGCATATATATATATATGTATATATGTATTTATACACACACACACACACACACACACACACACACATATATGACAAGGAGCCATTGAGTGGAAGTCATAGCAAGGCAAACTGATGTGAGTGAAAATAGGCGCCCTGTGGATGTAGTAAGCTACTCCCCAGAGCATTTCATGCAGAAGTTGGGTCACTATTTCAGGATGTTGTAGAAGGGACCTTCACTAAATGCTACTTCTGAGATTCCTTTGAACCCTGAGTATCTGTGAATCTGTACTTTGAAAGAGCACTTGTCTTGGAAGAAGAATACCTGAGCTTAAAGGCTGGTTCTACTACTTTCTAGGGTACACATACACATGTGTGATTTTGGTTGAATCACATCAATACTCTAAGACTCAGTTAATTTGTTTGTTTAAAAAAAGGGTGGTGTACTAGATTTTCCCTAAATTCCCTTTCAACTCCAAATCTATGGTCCTTTGATTGAGCCTAGACAGCTAGATGTGCAATGGATAAAGCATCATGCTTGGAGTCAGGAAGACTCGAGTTCAAATCCAGCTTCAGATATTTGTTAACTGTATGACCCTGAACAAGCCACTTAACCTCTGTCTCAGTTTCCTCTTCTGTAAAATGGGGGTGATAATAATAACTACTACCTCACAAGGTTGTTGTGAGGATCCAATGAAATTGCACTTAGAAAACACTTTGCAAACCTTAAAGTGATGTATTAGATGCTAGCTATTATCATCATTGTAATTGTCACAATTATTATTACTTCCCTGGAATTTGCACTACCTTCCTCACACGGTTGTCATGAGGGAAGGGTTTCGTGAACTACACAGCACTAGAGAAATGTTAACTATATTATTCCCAGCAGAAGAAGAACAAACACAGGCAGTTTCCTTTAGCTTCTTTTAATTCAACTCATGCAAACAAAGTTAATCCCAGAAATTATGCAAACCCAGCAGGGACAAGTCGCAGGCCAACCAAAGGAGCTCGCTGTTCTCACTAGACTCTTTCTTAATGTCCACTGTTTTCTCACTCATCTCAACCTGGCTCACTGCCTCCTTTTATTTGTGAATTCCTCTCCATAGCTTTTTGTAAATCTCATTAGATGGGAAGCAAATGTCCCACAGCTTGCTTGACCAGGAGGAGCCAAGTGACATCTGTTTGGTAGAGTCTTCTGTTACACTCCACCTTCCTGACTCACACAATGGTTTGCTGTGCCCAGTAGATCTTGCAGTGATTTAGAAATGCAGGGAACATACCATACTGATTAGAATAGTCATAAAATCCACTCACATTTCTATAGCAATTGAAGGTTTATAAAATATTTTCAGTATAGATATCATTAGACCCATTTTAGAGATGAGGCTTAGAGAAAACTAACTTGCCCTATGTTTACAAAGCTAGTAAGTATCAGAGTTGGGATTTGAACCTAGATCTTCTGACTCTGAGTCCAATGTTCTTTCCATTGCACCATCTCCCACAGTTATTTCACCTCTGAGGACCTCACTCTCCTTATTTATAAAGTAAGAGTATTGGACTAAATCATCTCTAGAATCTTTTTCAGTCTGACTATGATCTTATGCTATTAGTTAATTATGTTATAACCATTAATTTGTCATACAGAAGAATTAAGCCCCAAGAGAAGGACACAGACAGTGAGTAAAAGTTACTGGAAGGCAGATTTTGGCTCATAAGAAAGAATTTAACATCTATGAGCTGTTCAGCAATAGAATGGACTGCCTTAGAAAATGATAAGCCATACCCCCATCACTAGAAATGTTCAAGTGGAGGCTGGATCATTATTCATTGGTGATTCTATAGAAGGGATTTATTTATGCATAGATTGCTAGGTTCTATTTGAGGGTTGCATTTCTGTAATTCTATTGTTCCTCAATCTCAAAAGCACAGCATTTGTGCAGGAAGCCTGAGATTCAGTTTCTTCTTTATGTTTCATTAACCACTTAGCATCATCAGGAAATAAGATCTTCCACAAAAATGAAATTTCCAAACAAATGGAACTTAACCCTTTAATAGTCAAGTTCTCATTTTAATCATTTTCAGTAGAACTCATTCTATAATGCGCATCTCTGTTTTCTTACACAATGCATGGTGAATAGGCTTTAGCCTTTTCTTTATGACACAGGATCACCATCATTGGTGTTGTTGTACAGGTTATTAAGGTATATGTCTATGTAGGTGTATTTGCTTTACATGTCTGTTGCGCTTTCTATCAATATCTGATTGTCAACTGTCATTTCTCACTGCTATTTGCCTCACTGTAGGAATTCCTCACGCTTTCTAATTTATTGCTTCTGACCTGCAGCTTCACTGCACTGATACTGACCTTCAGGACAGTAAGTTTGATGAGATTGTATGCAAAATCCCCATTATCTCCAAAATCAACCATAAAATTCTCTGTTTGACATTCAAAACCCTTCATAACCTGGCCCCTTCCCACCTTTGCAGTCTTCTCATACCTACTCCCCTCCACATGTGTGATGATCCAATGACACCAGCCTCCTGGTTGTCCTTGAACAAGACACTGCAATGCCTGACTCAAAGAGTTTTCTCTGGCTATTCTCTATACCTGAAATGCTC